TTAGGCAAATCGCGGTTAGGCGAGGCAAACCTCAGTGCTGAGTCTAGGCGAATGCGGTGGGGCAAACCTCAGCGAGGATGCTGAGTCCATAAGAGGTGGTGTATGTAACACCCCAGACTATAGACAGAGTCCCACATCGGCAAAACATAAGAGGGATGCTGGGCATATAAGTTAACAAGCCTTAGACCCTAGTGACGCGTTTTAAACCCGTGAGGGCCTAGGCCCAGAGCGGACAATATCACTAGCGGGCTGGGCTGTTACAATTTTATCCTTCACCGACCTTGGTATTTCTGACTGTACAGTTAATAATACATCCTCCATACACATAGAGCACTAGTTGCACCGTCTATAGTCTTTTTTATGCAAGTTATACTGTGTGAGACAGCTTCATGTTGAATCCATTAAGCATTCTGCCCTAGAGGGGATTCAGTTCTCTGTATCATCTTCAATGGCCATTTATTATCCCTTCCATTTAGTCAAAAAGTTATAGCAAGATTCAAGTAAAGTTGCCCATCTTTGTTTACTTTCGCCTTTCCTTATCGAGAGCTGAGTTACGGTTTAGTTATTCTTGACCATCGTTGACTTGATCCTTGGCCAGGTTATGAAAGTGATAGTAGCTCTGGTAAACCTACAATTCGTGCTCAGCTTGCTAAGTTGGTTGGAGATCGAGATGATGACTTCAGCATTCCCTTGGGTAAGAATCTTAAGAAGGTCAGCGCCAAGTTCTTAACTGTTTCACAGAAGAGAAACATCAAAAGACAAGCCTACTTGAATGAAGTTTCTCAGAGGAATGACTCAGTATTCTTTGCTACAATTGGAGCATTCGTCATCCTTCCACCCCTTGTCATTTTAGGAATTGCAATTGCGACAGGTTATGTGCAGCTATTTCCATGACTTGTATAAATACATTGTATAAAGATACACTGTTTCTGTTACTAATATAGTGAAACTATATAAATTTGTGAAAGTCCTGCTAATTCTCGAGATTTGGAGTTGTACATTAACAGGTTATTGCTAGTAAAAGCTGATCGAATGGGCACTTTACTCTCGCTTGAGTGTCTTTCGTTGTAGGTCTCACCGCAAGACCTAGAGTTGGTTAGAACTAGCTGCATATGTTGTGATGGAGTTGGAGATGCTTAACTTATTGAAATGTAAAAAGGCGGAGATAGATACAAAATTTAAACTACAAATGTAAAAAGCGGACACAAGATTCCTCATATTAATTGCTGTATACGATGCTCTACACTGATTGTACTACACAAAACTCTCATATTTGCTTGTGAAATTGTAACAAAATTGGAAAGAATTTAATGTTAGTTAAAAAATAAAAGAATTTAATGTTAGTAAAAGGCAAATTATTTGTTTGTCTGAAGTCTTAACATGGCTCTGGTGATGGCATGGATGACAATTCATTTTTCTCGTTAGTTGGAGATGTTTCTTGATCCGTTGGTCGTACTGAATCATTGCCTACGGTCACTCCTGATTGCTTGATATAGTGCCATTTTTCTTGGAGTAGATAGATGAACGCGATAACAGCGACCTCAGCACTGAAAAGCCAGTTCCAAACACTGGTGCTTTTCATTGTTTTCATGTGATAGGCCTGTAATCCTGTATATATGTTGACAATTCCCAGTAAAGTAACTGTGATTCCAGTGAGCCAGTGGAAACAAAACCATGCACCCCTTCTTTTGCTTCCCCTGCAAAGGAAGAACAAGAAACAGCACTAATTAACCACACCACTCTTTCCCACATAAAGCTTCTATTCAATTGAATGAAGAGAAAATTCCATGGTGAATTCATGGTATGCTTTACTTGTCAGGCCGAAAAATCCCAGCGACTATTGGCAGCCATATGGCAACATATAGAGCTAAGCCAATCCTTTGGTGAGTATTGTCGAAGAAGTTCTCAAAGTTTATTACTGACAAAGTTGTTGCTGTTATTACAAGGATAACAGATAGTATCTGCCAAATAAGAAGAAATATTGATGTGAATTTTATGCACTACATAATTATGTAAATGTATGTGGACTTTCTAAATAACAGTAGTCAGCTGTCAAGTATCATATGTCAAAATAAACGGTTATAACTAACATCATAATTAACTTGAATTGTGCTCATTTCGAAATACTAAACTGATAGAGTTATTTGTAGTACTCAAATATTAATCCTGTCTTTCCGCATTCATCCCTGCTATCAACTTGAGGATGAATGGAGGTTAACTTACAATTACTTAATGACAAACTATGGGCTAGTTTAATTATTAGCAAATCTGTAATCATAGCTGTTACTCTCTTTCAGTATCATTACAGGTGAAAAGTGGGCTACTTTTATCCTATAAACAAGGTTCAAATTTGTAATAAGAACTTTCAGTAACTGTTGAGATAGTGATGCTTATGCCAAAGAAAAGAACAGTATACCCTTCATTGACTGAATGAAGTTTATGACCTTTTCTATGTTCTCAGTGAAACAAAAGTTAAAGGGATTTTACCTGTAAAGAAGCATGAGTATAGAAAATAAGCTTTAGCCTTCTTCCACATTGCTGTCTATTTGACATTCTCATTACAAGAATCGCGATAGGCATCAAGAAACCCATAGAAGACCATAGCAGAAATCCATGTAGGATAATTTGAAATGACAGCTTTGGACTTAACTGAAATTTGAGATAGATAATTAGTTGCTGCCCTACAAATATATGGGAAATTACAGAACAATAGCTAGAAATTGTCTAGTGAGATGGTTGGATCAAGTTTACTTTTTCGTAATACTTTTTCAGAGGAAAAGATAAAATTGAATGATAGAGAATAGGAGATGTAAATGTGAATAACCTCAAGGACTTTGTGATCACTGCATTCATGAATAATCTTTTTTGTGTGCTTTTGAGTTGAACTGACTAATGGTAGAAGAGCAAAAATGAGAATCGCCGCGTGAACTACGAGCTTCTGCATGGGCAGTATGGTGTTTCTACTCATACTCCTATGTTTCTAATGCTACAAAACTTTGTGTTGATGAAGAGAGAAAGGAACTGAGAAGAAAAAGAGACAGCACCACCAAAAGGTGTTGAGCTTAGCTTGTTATAACCAATAGGCTCAGGTACATTGCTTTCTCTTCAACTGCAATGGTAAATTGAACTTTATCATAAACTAAACAACACTTTGTCTAAAGAGTAAAGACATTGTAGAAAAACAAGTATATCCTTTCTAAGCAGTATTATCCTCAACTCTAAAAAGAAGCCAAAGTGAAATTCTCTTTTGACAAATTCACAATGTTTGGCATAGTGTTTTATAGTGCATATTTTTAAATTGAGGAAAAGAAAGTAGGGAAATGGAAGTTAGGCTGTGATTTCAACCTGGTGGGGACTCTATGACAGGCTTTTCCTTTTAATGGAGAGAATGTGGGATTTCAGAGCAGAAGATAACCAGAGTGGGAGGACAAATTTCAAAAAAAATATCAAGTATAGTTGACAAAATATATGTACAATTTTAGTCCATACTTACCCACTACTGAGCAGGAGCATGGTCACTAGGATTAGTAAGCATTTTTCTATGTTGGGTAGTTGCTTTTGGAAATGCACAAAACTTGAACCATTAGACAGTTAACAGTTAGTATTTGTTAAGTTGGTAAACCACAAATTTTCTGAACTTGCTAATTCAGCAATGCACATAATACGTAATTTATTTATCAGCCATTTATAGACACTTTTTGCTGGCCAAAGACACTTACATGGTGTGAGAATTTAAAAGAACAATAGTATAAGACAGGTGGACCATGACATGCAACTTTATGCAGTAGATTTTACAAATGTGATTGCTGAATAGCTTTATTGTTATGGCCCCTCCATTATCATATACTTGCAATCAATATCTGTATCTAATCATGACAGTTTTGGCCTACTTACGTGCTTCATATATCTTGGAAGTATTAGCATTGGACCACAGCTAATAACCTGTATCTGCTACATCCTTTTGAGACTCTGATTTGCGTTACTAGTCTTTAGAAAGTTGGAATCCTTCTTACTGGGGTTGTCAAAACCGAACGGAAAAACTACATCAAATCGATTAAAAATCCGACTAGGTTTGGTTTGATTTGGTTGGTATTTAGTAAGAAAATCCGAACCAAACCGACATATAAATATATAATTTTTATATGTACTTTTAAGACTTTATATAGAATTTTCTTTATAAAACTTATAGAAATATTTGGGATTCTCTTATGGGATGTAATATATAATAGAATATGAAGTACTCCATTTTTATTAACCTTAAATAGTGGGTTATATGATCACTTTCTTATCAAGTGTTACTTAAAATGCGTCAATCTCTTTGTTCTTCCATGTTCATATATCAAGATTTATTAAATTGTTATATCTTTTTTTATTTTGAAGTGGTATTTCGATAATCTAAAATTAAATAAAATATATCATTAATTAGGTATCATATTGATTTTTATGCTTAATTATTAAATTCGTTTAACCTTGAAAGTATACATCAACGAAAAATTATTTTCAGACGACTAAAAAAGTAACTATATATCATGTGTTATTAACAAAATTCTCCCATAAAAATATTTTAATAGATCATATGTTTGTCAATTTTTTCAATTTTTACTAAACATATATTTACTTATAAAAATTTTAACAAAGTAAGATTGAAATAATATTCACGTAACAAAAAAACCGAAAAACCCAAAAAACCCGACAAAACCAAACCAATCCAACCCGATATAGTTGGTTTGATTTGGTTTTAATAAAAACCGAACCAACCCGGTCCATGTACACCCCTACCTGATATCATTTCTAAACAAAACCTTATGTAGATCAAAAGTCAATATCACTTCTCCTGAATTATAATTTACTTGAAAATTGAGGTGTATGTTTTTTTTACGTAAATGAAAGTTAAAATTTCTTTTAATTAAATTAATTTGGACTTGTGAAAAATGAATAGGTTATTAAAAATAAGTTGGCACATGAGGGCTATAACAAAACTCCAAACATTATGCTTATGAATGGGAAAGGCTCATATTTGGATCCAAAAGCAAAATCCAATGAATCCTTCACAGTACAACGAGGTAATAAGCCCAATCTTTCTTTCTCCTACTGCAATAGGTATCTTTACAAAAATAGCCGGATAAATTCATTATTTACTTTTCCTAGCCGGTATATATAGATTTTGCACTGATATATTATCGAAATCTTTTATGATTTCCAGGTAAAACGTACAGATTGAGGATTTCAAATGTGGGAAGTGAATGGAGTTTTAATTTTAGGATTCAAAATCATAGCATGCTATTGGTCGAGACGGAAGGATCGTACACCAATCAAATTACGTTGGAATCGCTCGATGTCCACGTGGGACAATCCTACTCTGTTCTCGTCACAGCTGATCAAGATACTGCTGATTATTACATAGTTGCCACTGCAAAAATGGCAAACTCAACTCAGCTTAAAACTCTTGAGGTTGTTGGTGTGTTACATTATGAAAACTCTACCAAACCTGCTGATGGGCCTCTTCCAAATGGGCCTGACCCATTTGATGTGCATTTCTCTATCAGTCAAGCTAGGTCCATCAGGTAGGCCCATCTAAACAAATCCATTTTTGCATGATATTAGCCAAGTTTCTTTTTAGCCAAAAGTATTTTTTGATCAAAAGTGCCTTTTTTCAAAGTTAAGGTGTTTGACCAAGCTTTTAAAAGGAAAAATGTGCTTTTGACTAGAAGTAGAAGCAGTTTTTTGATAAACTAAAAACACTTTTTTTTAAAGGCACTTTAGAGAAAAATACACTTAGAAACACTTTATAAAATATTGGTCAAATACGAATTGCTGCTCAAAAGTACTTCCAAATTAATTAGCCAAACACAATCTGCTTTTCAGCACTTTTGAGATAAGCACTTTTCAAAATACATTAATTTTAAGTTTGGCCAAATAAGCTGGATTAAGAATGTTTATGCAAATAGCTGACCAAATTTACTGTTTAATTTTTTGAGCTGGTATACATACACAGTTATATTTATATTATAACATAAATTATACATATGTTATAAATCTGCTGACTATTTTAGTTTAAGTAGTTGGGTGAGAGGTTATTTAGGCTAATTCTTCTTAATTGTTTCCGCAGGTGGAATTTGACAACAGGTGCAGCAAGGCCTAATCCACAAGGATCATTTAATGTATCAAATGTGACATTATCACAAACTTTTGTTCTCCAAAATTCAGTGAACAAAAAGAATGGTATGATAAATTATGCAATTAACAATGTCTCTTATGATACACCACAAACGCCATTAAAATTGGCGGATTATTACCTTAACGGTGGCGCCGGAGTTTACGAGCTCGATAAATTTCCGGCGAACAGTAGCCTACCGGAGACTGTTTATGGTACGTTTGTTGTCTCCGGCGAACACAAAGGGTGGCTGGAAATTGTCTTCAAAAATGAGCTAAAAGTGATGGACTCTTGGCACTTGGATGGATTTGGCTTCTTTGTTGTTGGGTAAGTATACAAAAATGGTCCATTTTTTATTTTCCTTGTGGTCATTGAATTTTTTTTATAATTCTTCTTTGGCCTTTCCCGGACCCTGTAAACACGGGATGCTTCGTGCACCAAGCTGCCTTTTGTCCCCTTTTATGAATTCCGACTAATCCAAACTCGTGCTAAAAAATACACTTTGGAAAGTATAACAATTCTTATCAAATGTGACTAGATTTCAGGGTCGAACACGAAATTTGGATACTTATCATCCCAAGCCAAGCTTTTAATTTGGTGGTTAACTTTTTTCTCTATAGCAAAAAATAAACTTACAAAAATATTTTTGTCATACTAAAATAATTGAACTTTATCCATTTTAATAGTAAGGTCACAATTATTTTTTGTCATATTAAAGTGACAACTTCATCCGCTGTAACAATAAGTCACCTTAGGTTGTCATTATAATAGATAAAGTTTGGTGAACTTTTAATGGGTGAAGTATTATTACCTTAATGAAAAATAATAGTTTGTTACTTTATTGTTATTGTGGATAACAACAACAACAACCCAGTAAAATCCCTCAAGTGGGGTCTGGGGAGGGTAGTGTGTACGCAGACCTTACCCCTACCCCGAAGAAGTAGGGAGACTGTCTCCGAAAGACCCTCAGCTCAAGAAGACGAATACACAAAGACACATTATCAGTATCTCCAATAGAAAACATAGGAAAAATAACATCATGAAAATGAGAAAGTAGATGCAAAAGAAAAATGATAGACAACGTATAAACCAGGCGCTATGAAAAACGAAATAGTAGTAAAATAGTAGTAAGACGCAACATTACCACTAGCTGACTAGAAAAACTACCAGACTAGCCTCGCAAAGGGACGAAGTAAGGAAAGACTCAACTATCTCCTAACTTACAACCCTAATACTCGACCTCCACAGCTTCCTATCAAGGGCCATGTCCTCGGAAATCTGAAGCCTCGCCATGTCCAACCTGATCACCTCTCCCCAATACTTCTTAGGCCGTCCTCTACCTCTTCTCGTGCCCTCCAAAACCAGCCGCTCACACCTTCTTACTGGAGCATCTGGGCTTCTCCTTTGTACGTGTCCGAACCATCTGAGTCTCGCTTCCCGCATCTTGTCATCAATGGGAGCCACGCCCACCTTCTCCCGAATATTTTCATTCCTAATCTTATCCATCCTAGTGTGCTCGCACATCCACCTCAACATCCTCATTTCTATTACTTTCATCTTCTAGATATGTGAGTTCTTAACAGGCCAACACTCAGCTCCATACATCATGGCCGGTCTAACCACCGCTTTGTAAAGCTTACCTTTGAGTATCGGTGGCACTCTTTTGTCACACAGGACTCCAGATGCTAACCTCCACTTCATCCACCCCACCCCGATATGGTGTGTAACATTTTCGTCGATCTCCCTTCCCCCCTGGATAACCGACCCAAGGTACTTGAAATTGCAATAACTTGGGATGACCCGTGCTTCAAGCCTCACATCCACACCAACTTCCCTCGGCTCCGCACTGAACTTACACTCCAGGTATTCCGTCTTCGTCCTGCTCAACCTGAAACCCTTAAACTCAAGAGCCTGTCTCCAGACCTCCAACCCCTCGTTCACACTTGTTCGCGACTCATCAATCAGGACTATGTCATCGGCGAATAACATACACCACGGCACCTCCCCTTGAATATGATGTGTTAACACGTCCATCACCATGGCAAATAAGAACGGCCTGAGCGCAGAACCTTGGTGTAACCCCATAACAACTGGAAAATGCTCAGAGTCGGCTCCTACTGTCCTAACCCGAGTCATAGCCCCCTCATACATGTCCTTAATTGCGCAAATGTAGGCAACCGGCACGCCTTTTGCCTCCAAGCATCTCTAGAGAACTTCTCTAGGAACTTTGTCGTACGCTTTCTCTAAATCAATAAACACCATGTGCAGATCCTTCTTCCTCTCCTTGTACTGTTCCACCAACCTCCTAATAAGGTGTATAGCCTTCGTAGTAGAACGACCCGAACTGGTTGTCTGATATAGACACCGTCCTCCTCACCCTCGCTTCAACCACCCTCTCCCAAACTTTCATCGTATGACTCAGTAATTTGATGCCCTTATAATTGTTACAACTTTGGATATCACCTTTATTCTTATATAATGGGACCACCGTACTCCACATCCACTTATCCGGCATCCTCTTCGTCCTAAAAATAACATTACACAACTCGATCAGCCACTCCAAGCCTACTCTACCCGCACACTTCCAAAATTCAACCGGAATTTCGTCTGGTCCGATCGCTCTACCCCTAGTCATCTTACGCATAACTCCCACGACCTCCTCTACCTCGATGCGCTTGCAGTGCCCAAAGTTACAGTGACTCTCGGAATGCTCTAGTTCACCTAGCACAATATCTGTCACGATCCGGATTTCCCACCCTCGGGAGTCGTGATGGCGCCTACTAGTGAAAGCTAGGCAAGCCAATCAACTGAATTGTTTACCTTATTTCCATTTTTAAATCCGTTAACAGTTATAATCCAACAGTTAATAATCAACAAAATTTAACAAGCGGAAGACTTAATTTCAAGTTTAACAATACTGCTAATACCATTCCATGACAACACTACCCAAGATTGGTGTCACAACTTCACAGACTGTCTAAGATTACTACAAATAAATGTTTGAAAGAAATAATACAACACTGTCTCTGGAAATACAAGAAAGAAACAGGAATGATAGCTAGAAGGAGACGCCAAGGCCTGCGGATGCCTGCAGGACTACCTCGGGTCGCCTGATGGACCAGAAACAGCAACCTCACTGCGGTACGAAATCTACAACACTTGGATCTGCACAAAAGAGTGTAGAGTGTAGTATCAGTACAACCGACCCCATGTGCTGGTAAGTGTCTAGCCTAACCTCGACGAACTAGTGACGAGGCTAGGACTAGACTACCAAAATAAATATGTGCAGTTAAATCATATACAATGGAACAATACAAGCAGAAATGTACAGCTAAGGATGGGAGGGGGAAACATGCTGCGGAGACATCGAATAATAACAGAAGAACAACGATTAAATATAAAGATCACCACAGTTCAATTGAAGATAGGAAGGAGGATCATGCTGCGGGGTACAACAAGTATCAACAGAAATCCAACAATTAAGTGTAGAGAAACCATAACTCAGTTATCAATAGAAATCAGGAAATCAAGACAAGTGCACGGTATCACCCTTCGTGCTTTAACACTCTCTCACCAAAACAATGCACGGCATCACCCTTCGTGCTTTACACTCTTCCTCACCCAAGCAACAATCACAAACAATAAGGGCAAGGGAATAGATGAAATCACAGTAATATCATAATAAAATCCCGGCAACACAAATAACGTCACAAATAAATAAAGTAATAACAGGAAATCAGTAAGTAAGCGTAAAGAACACCATAACTCAATTACTAGTAGAATCAGGAAAATCAAGGACAAGTGCACGACATCACCCTTCGTGCTTTTACTCTCGTCCTCACCATGAAAATCAGTATAATTGGCACGGCATTACCCTTCGTGCTTTTACCTCACATAATCACTCATATAAAGGCACAAAATTGTACATCGTGCGGCACGGCATCATCCTTCGTGCTTTACACTCTTCCTCGCAAAACAATGCACGGCATCACCCTTCGTGGTTTAACTCTCTTCCTCACCCAAACAACAATCACAAACAATAGGGAAAGGAAATGAATGAAATTTTGCAATAAGACTCCCGGCAAGGGAATAATAATTCAACAACAAGTCCCGGCAAGGGACAACCTCAAAACAACAACAACAATATCCCGGCAAGGGAGTCAATATAATGATTCTTTTCTCTTCTTTCACCTTTGTTTCACAATTCACTTCACAACTCGAGCCAATGCTCCAAAAGGTTTCAATTACCGCTCATACTTTCACAATTCGTTATACAACTTGAGCCAATGCTTCTCAATAATCAAACATCACAATTACTTCCACGAACCTTGCTCAACAAATAAAAATCATCACCAAGATATGAATAATACGACGAAGTCATAAAAATCACATTAAGAGACTCACGGGCATGCTAGACACCAACGTATAGATACTTGTCACCATGCCTATACGTCGTACTCCACAATTACCACATAGCAAATAGGACTCGACTCCTAATCCCTCAAGCTAAGGTTAGACCAAACACTTACCTCGATGGCACGAACACAATTCACGTTTCAATTATAGCTTTATCCCTTGATTCCACCACCAATTTACTCGTATCTAGTCACAAGTTACTTAATTGCATCAATAAACGCTAAATGAATCAATTCTAATCATGAAGATGAGTTTTCTAAAGTTTTGCCCAAAAAGTCAAAAATCACCCCCGGGCCCACATGGTCAAAACCCGAGGTTCGAACCAAAACCCGATTACCCATTCCCCCACGAACTCAAATATATAATTTGTTTTGAAATCGGAACTCAAATCGAGGTCCAAATCCTCAATTTTTAAAAAACCTAAGTTCTACCCAAAATACCCAATATCCCCCATGAAACTCATTGATTTTAAGCTGAAATCATGTTAAAAGATGTTAATGATTGAAGGAAACTAGTTAAAAATGACTTACCATTGATTTGATGGAAGAGTTGTTCTTGAAAAATCGCCCTAGGGAGTTTGTGTTTTGAAAAGATGTGAAAATGGGTTAAAATTCGTCTAAGTATAGAAGTTGCAGGTCTCAGATGTGGAAATGCGAAACAGGGCTCGCATTTGTGAACTCTTTAGGAATTTTGGGACTTTCGCATTTGCGAAACATGTGTCGCATTTGCGATACATCAGCCTTCCAGCCATCATCGCATTTGCGAGAGGCTGTTCGCAAATGCGAAGTCGCATTTGCGATGATAAAGTCGCATTTGCGACTCAGGCTGCCAGTCCACTTCTCTCGCATTTGCGATGGTTTGTCGCATTTGCGAGCCAGGCTTCGCATTTGCGAAGCCTGCAGACCTGATACACCAATTGAGAAATCTGCAATTTTTCTATGTCCGAAATGCATCCCGTGGCCTATCCAAAACTCACCCGAGCCCTCGGGGCTCCAAACCAAACATGCACACTACCTCAAAAACATCCTACGGACTTATTCGTGTAATCAAATTACCAAAATAACATCATGAACATCGAATTAAACCTCAAGATCAATGAAATTTCTCAAAACTTCTTTAAACATCAAATTTTGCATTTAAGTCCTCATGTCAAATGGATTCCGTTTCTTACCAAACTTTACCGACAACACATATAAATCATATTGAACCTGTACCGGGCTCCGTAACCATAATACGGGCCCGATATCACAGGTTTCACATAACATTTCACTTTCAAAAGCTTCATATTTTTCAGAAAATAATTTCTTTCAAAAATTCATTTCTCGGGCTTGGGACCTCGGAATTCGATTTCGGTCATACGCCCAAGTCCCATATGTTTCTACGGACCCTCCGGGACCGTCAAATTACGGGTCCGGGTCCGTTTACCCAAAACGTTGACCGAAGTCAAATTAATTCATTTTATAGTCAAAATTTATCATTTTTCATAGATTTTCACATATAGACTTTCCGGCTATGCGCCCGGACTGCGCACGCAATTCGAGGTGATGCTGGAAGAGGTTTTTAAGGCTTTGAAACGCAGAATTTAATTTAAAAACAAGTGATGACCTTTTGGGTCATCACAATATCCCGATCCCCTTCTTCATTCAGAAGTTCATGAAAGTAAGTCTGCCATCTCCTCTTGATCTGGGCATCCTCTATCAATACTCTACCATCGTTGTCCTTGATGCATCTCACGTGGTCCAAATACTATAGTATATTAATGTTATAGTTGCTAACATTTTGTTACTTTATTGTTACTGTGGATACAATGTAGTAAACTAATGTTAAGTTGCTAACATTTTGTTACTTTAATATAACAATAAAATTATTGTGTAATTTTAATATTTTAATAAGTAAAATTCAATAATCATACATCAAATTAATCCTAAAATATTTGTGAGATAAGAATTATCCCAGGAATTTTAAAATTAAATATATTTGTTGTTGTTATTTTGACATCTTGCTGGCATTTTTGCTCTTGGAATCTCAGGTACGGTTTTGGAAATTGGAACCCTGAATCACGTTGTATGTATAATCTTTTTGATCCTGTTGTTCGTTCTACTGTTCAGGTAATTAATTTTCTTTCTTTTAACAAAACCAATCAAATTCCTAGCACTTTAATTATGCTAAAATATAATCAAATTAATGAACATTTATCATAGGTGTATCCAAAAGGATGGACAGCAGTATACGTGTATTTAGACAATCCAGGGATGTGGAATTTAAGGTCACAAAATTTGAAACATTGGTTCTCAGGACAAGAGCTTTATATCAGAGTTTATGACTCTGATCCTAATCCTGCTAAAGAACATCCTCCCCCTAAAAACCTACTCTATTGTGGTTAGCTTCTTATTAATTTCTTTCTTGTTTTTTTCAAATTTATTTATTTTTCTCTTGAAAAAAAATCAAAATATAGTTTTGCAAGGAAAATATGGTGTAATTTTATTTGATGTTTTTTTGAAAATTATAGGGAGTGTGCAGGCGCCTCCTTCAGCACCACCACCAAGTCCAAAGCCAGTACCAGCGCCTCCAGCTCCAGTATCCCCATCGTCTGCTGCTGCTACTGCTACTATAAAAAGGCAATGGTAATTTATTCATCTATTGTGACATTTACAATTTTTTATTTCCATTCAATTTGTCACATTTATTTTCTTTCCTTTAATTTGTGTTGGTTTCTAACTATGTTGACAGGTCTAATATTATTGAGGCTATCTTTGTGCTTTTGATCATATGGGATGGGAGCTGGTGCTTATAAGTGACATGCAAACTAGCCTGTCGTTTTCTTTGTTCTTTCATACTTAGTATGTTACTCTTTTTCTTATAATTAATATATTTAAATTATAGATATACAATTTAGTATAAAGAATCTTTTACATTATCATCCGAGTTTTTTCTTTTTAAATTTGGGGTTATCCATATACATAGAATGCTCAGGCATGGATATCACTATCCACTGATATATGAGTTGTAATTTATCAAAGTAAAGCATTATTTAAAGGCAGATAGCCTGACAGACACCTCTACTTATTCGGCTTTGACATCCCGGTCCCCCTACTCCATATACCTCTACTTATTCGGCTTTGACATCCCGATCCCCCTACTCCATATACCTCTACTTATTCGGCTTTGACATCCCGGTCCCCCTACTCCATATATTTTCAACCATGCACTTGAACTTGTATAAAACAATTGTTTTAAACACCTCTGATATCGTGTGTTGTTCACTTTCACCTACTTATAGGACTTTCGTTCAATTCTGTAATCTGTACATTAGAAATCCTATTCATAGGATCTATACATGTTTCAACAAATGTGCATTAGCAAACATGCCTATAGGATCTTGTTGTTGAGTTAACCGTCCTCCCTGGCAATCTGTTTAATTTCTGCCCGTACACAGCTAATAGATATCATGCCTATAGGATTTAAATCCATTCAAACCTAGGAATCATGCCTATAGGGTTTAAATCAATCCATCAATAGATATCATGCCTATAGGACTAAAGTCAATTTCAAATTTAGAAATCATGCCTACAAGGTTTAAGTCAATTAGAAAACATGCCTATAGGAAATATAAATCTATCTTTACGAGTTAAAATCAGTGCTACACCCAGAAACCATGTCTATATGTCTGTAATTAATAAGCTCGTAGAAATCATGCCTATAGGATTCTGTTGATCGCTTCTGAATTCAATCGCTGTTGTCAATCACTTAGGCAACGTATCTGTAGGACTTAATAATGATTCTGGGCTTATAATTGTGACATATTACTGCCTGAGGAGCCCAGATTCATGCTGAATAAAATCAGTAGGCAAACAAATAGGTCTTAATACTCGCCTTAACAAAACTGCCTTTATACTCTGCTTTTTTTCCACGTAGATATCCTGCCTATAGGATTCCAAAGTTAACGAAGTTTGCTGATTCAATTGCGTGCTTTTGTTGCCAATGTGTGGAGGTCAATGTGAGCCCATTTGTTCTTTATCTGAAAGTCCTATTTGCTTTTGTTTGTCGCCTAGATTTCACATTTTTAAGTAACATAGGTTGGTCTAGAACTATCACAAATAGAGGTCCTAATACTTCCAGGGCCATAGGTAAGGGACGGGTAGTGCACGCATAAGGAACGAGCTAGAAACTACTAGAACGCTTTAGTAACAACTTAAAGATAGTAATTGGGGGTAGTAAGGAGATGATGCTCCGTGCGTTAATGCTATGAGTAACACCCCGACTCGAGGGAGTTACAAACTATTGCATGGAATGATCCTAAAGGCTAAAAAACTTAGGACCCCCCTCCTTTATACTCCTGTTTAAAATAAATTGAATATTGTATTTGTCCAAATTATTTTCTTCCTTTTTTTAGACTAATTCTCTTAATTTATGTTCGGTCGGGACCCACTGTTGTGGACCTCGAGGGGTGCCTAACACCTTCCCCTCAAGGTAATTTCGAGCCCTTACCCGATCTCTGGTGATGTAAACTGGTTATATGCTCTCGGCGCCCTAACACACCTTAATCCGTTAGGTGGCGACTCTTCCAATTCCCTACCCTCTCAAAAAGAGTTGTCCTAGAAATCCCGAAACCCGATTTTGCGAAAAAAGGGGGCGCGACAAATAGTAGTAGTAATGAATAAAAAAACCTAATTGAGTAATGCTAGAAGAGTCAAACGTGCTTCAATTGGCACCAACACACTTAACTACGTGCTTATGGTTAAAAACAAGGTTTGAAAGAAATAGCTCTAGTTAGTGACTTTGTGACTCTTGAGTTGACTTTGGAAACCATCGAGTGGTTTAATTGAACAATAGTGATTTTCAAACTGGAATGTGGTCATTGTGGGACCTCGACTCTGTCCTCTTTAACAATCTGGTTGCGTGAGAGGTGAGTTGCTTTGTTGCTAGTCCAAGTATCCGTGCGAAAGGTCTAGAACTTGACCCGAATGTGTTCAAGGCGAAATCCTAAGTTTTGCTTGGCTTGAGAAGTAACTGTAGGCTTCCTTTGGTCCGTTTGAGCTTTCTATTGCCTACCAATGTTGTGATCCCTAGTCAACCCCGTTGAGCCTCGAGCCTTTCTCATTTGACAACCATGTTACAAGCGTTTACCCGTTTGATCGTGACCCTCTCTTGGCACCCGAGATTTCCTTAACACTCTTGTGAAATAATTGGATAAAACGTATGTTGGGTTTGTCAGAAC